CTTGAAATATTAACTGGCTTTAGATTGAATTACCTAAGAAGGAAAGTCATTGATAGTGTCACTCAAGCTGGGTAGCTATTAGATTTTGCTCAAAAAATTTTGGGTTTCAAAACTGATACAAGCTTATATGGATGTGAGCTCCAAGGAAACCTTTCTGTTTACCAACAAAATTTATCTGTGTAAATGTCAGTATTAACTCACTTGGAAAGCACTGCAAAAAAAAGAACTATTGCTGTAGTGGGTGTGGTTCCACAAACCTAGAGCTGTGACAACGGCTTAGAGACAGACTTTTTGTTTAATTGCCCCGATACCTATAGGAAACATGGACTTTGGCGACTTACAAGGACGGTTGGTCCCTGCAATGCAGTGAGTGTCCTGCCCCTGAGTGCAGTGCAACGCTCCATGTCCAGGGCGCAGAAGGTAGAACCGCTAGAGAGCTTCCTATGCAGCCTGAGACCTGCGCTCTAGCCCACTTTTCCTGTTAGTTTGGGAGGTTACTTAGGCTTTCAACAAAGCATTTTTCAATGCAAAGATGAACCAGATCTATCCTTACTCAATAACAGCTCCCAATCTGGGAAGAAATTCTAACATGATAACAAAAACAACATGATTTAGTATGGTAAGTGCTATTACTGGTGTTACACCAAGGACTGCATGCTATTTTGTTTAAATGTCACAACAATCCTATGAATTATATACTAGTCTCCTCATGTTACAGACAGAGAAACAAGCCCAGGGAAATTAAATGCGTTATCAAGGTTGAGTTTGGGACCAGAATTTACTGATATGGTTCCCAGATGCAATGGCTGGCAAATATCTCTACTGATTATGAAGACACCATTGAAGTATTGACACAAAAGCTGGATTTTGAATGATAATAGGATTTTATGAAGGAGAAGTGGACAGAAGAGGATATTATTTAAAGGAAATAGCATAAGACAAAGAAATGTTTAAAGCCTGTTCAGACAATGTCAAGGGCCCTGAATGGCAAGAGTTGAAAAGTAGGTTGGGGAGATTATGAAGGCCTTGAAAGGCATCTTAAGACCTGAACTGCCTCCACTTCATCTTGATCAGCCTTGAAGGTTTTCAAACAGGAGGGTGACACATGCAAATTCCTATTTCAAATTGCCAGTGTTGGTGGTGAGGCTTGATGGGGGATCTGGGAGACTGGAGGCTGATGAGCTGATGAGGGTCTGACCTATGGCTTCACAGTGGGGATATAAAGGAGAGCACTTCCCAGGAAAAACCAGCAGCATTTTTGACTGATTCGATGGAAAAATGGGAGGAGTCGAGGATTACACCAAGGTTTCTAGATTGGACTAATAAGTGGATGACAACCACTAGCTAAAATAGGGCATGTGGGAGGAGAATGCACCAGAGGGAGAAAATAATGAAAATGCCTGTTACATGGTGAATGGGCTCATTTTAGGCAACTACCCTGACAGATAAAATAAGGCCTGTCCTAAAATTACTAATCCAAGGAGCAATGACTCCTGCATCCAAACTGAATTAAGCATATGAGGTTAATTTTGCCATAGATGTAAATAAATATATACTGTACTTAAGACAGATTTCCCCCCAGCTGTATTGAGATATAATTGATATATAACACTGTGTAAGTTTAAGGTGTACAACATAATGCGGCGACTATATATCGTGAAATGATTACCACAATACGTTCAGCTCACACACCCATTATCTCACACAGTTAACATATTTTGCTGTGGATAGATTTTTAAAATATGTATATATGAATTTTATATATGAAATGTATACATGTGGAGAAGAGAAACTATTGGAGGATGAAAACTAAGGCTTAGCAATCTGAGCCTTAGGGAAATATTGAGCATTGGGGAAAATTTCCTTGGACATTCAGGAAATCTAAGAAAGGAATCCAGCCTCTCTCCTATCCCCTCCCTACCCCACCCTAACCCTCCAAAAAAACAACAACAATGAAATCTATCTGATAAAGTAATATTCTAGTTTTCTTTTATTCAACTGTTGATGTTCTTCCCCAGACAGAAAAGGAACTCAGAAATGACATACTCACAAAAAGATGTGAATTCCACCCAACATGCTGTGCACAGCGCTTGTTTTGCAATCCGTTACTTCACCGAGGCTGCCCCACCCTGCTGTTAACCCAAATAACACTTGCAGCTCTAGAGCCTGGGTGTTTCCCTCCCTCTCCCGCTCCCTCCCTCTCTCAGCTTGATTTTGACCATTGGAAAATACCACACATACAAACAGGCACATCCCTTTTTCTCACACTTGTGTGTGTGTGTGTGCCTTGTATATATTTGTGTGACTCGTATATATTTCTGTCCATTCCAGAAATAAGGTTTTCCTGTGGGGCGGGATGGATAAGTATGCAAAATGATTATATTTATAGATTAATACAAATTCATGAATTTATGTTCATAATAGCTCTCAACTCAAATTAATGTCTTCTTATGTTCACCAAGGATGTGACACTTCTAAACTGTGGTTCCTTCAGTAGCAGATTTACTTACAACTAGATAGATTTACAGCACATTTTTGAGCTGACTGCTTTTAATAATTCCATATCAACAGACTCTGGGGGAAAGGAATAAAAGGGCAGGGGGAAAGATTTTCCCCAGATTAACCTAGGAAGAGTGTCAGCAGAAGTCACGAGAATGCTGGTTTCAGTTATTTCCATGTTAAGTGTAAGATTCGCTGTGACGTGTCCTTGAGCTGCTGTGAATGGATGGTGGGCACAGGCTGGAAACCAAGGTCTTTGGGCTCAGTGGGTTTTTCTGACTGACGGGTACCATGTTCCTTTTCAAGACTTTATTCTTCCTCACTTCAGTGCTTTTCCAAATTTAATGATTTAAGAGAAAGCATCAATAGCAGGATTCTTATTAGCATTGTCTTCGGTTACTGTGAGTACACTGTAATGCTGGCTGGCAGTTTTTTGAGTTCAGAAGATAAATCTGTTTTTCCACTTTGAATGGGTTACTTTTCTCTTATGAAAAATGTGAAATATGTTAACACTAATGCTGTCAACTTTTCCTGTTAAAAATAATTCATCTGAAAGATTCTTCTATTTTGTCACATTATTGTAGTACATAATATTCTAATGAAAGTAAATGGGCAGTTCTGAAATTTTATCATTTATTCTGTTCATTTCCTCTTATTAAAACAATGAACGAATCGTCCATTATAAGATTTTAAACACCAAATTAACTTTTTGCAGAGACAGTTTGTGAAGCCATGGGTACTTTGTTGACTGAAAACCTTTCTTTCCTCCATTTTGTAGGTAATTTGAAGAAGGGAGGGTGTGAGTCAGATACTTTGTAAGCAACTGGGAGGGGGTAAAACCACATGCCAGTGGGCCCCGCTTTGACTCCCCTCCCGACCTGCAGCTCTCTTTCCTTCTGACTGCAGTCAACTCTAAGGCCAACAGCCCACATAAAATAGGATGGGCATCTCCCGTGTTTCTTCCCTGGTCTCTGCCTGAGCCCTCCCTGGCCTCTTAGATCTGCACACACGGACTCACACCGGGCGGTGTGTGCCTTGTCTGTCACTTTCGTACCTGTGCTCGCCTTGGGTGATATGACCCTGAGCGTTCGCTGGATGGCCCCCTTGGATCCCTCCCTGCCCCGTGTGTATGCACACCTAATTCTCTCATGTGCCTGCTCCTTCGGAATGTGCTTGTCCCATGGTATCGAGACCGCGCGGGTTTTAACTGAAGTCCCTGTCCTGGCCCTTTCCTGGCCAGCCCAGTTTTGTAGCTACCCATGCTCCTGCAAGATACCTCCTCCACTGGAGGCCAGATAGGGTGTTCCGGAAAATTAATAATCATCACAGAGATGATAGTAGTATGGTTATGGTAAAAAAATCTTTTAGAGTTACATAGTGAAATATTTATGGAAAAATAATATTTGCTTCGAAACAATTATTGGGAGAAAATATAGATAAGATATTTAAAATTAAAAGATCAGTCATGATGTGATCATTGTTAAAGCTGGACATTGAGTACATGAAAATCATATTGTTTTCTCTACTTTTGTATATGTTTAAGTTAACATATAATGGTTAAAACACAAACACACCCATACACACATAAATATTACTTGGCTTAAACAATACATGCTGATCCTCTACTCTAACCAGACTTCTTAGCTTGGACTATAATTAGCATTAATCTTCTAATGTTTTAGAGCACTTAGGACCCTTATAAATTATCTCCAGCAAACTTATCTTACAAGAGAAGTAGTTAATTCCCTGTGCCAAACAGCATACTACTAATTAGCAGCTGAAAGAAGCCTCGTAATCATGTCTCTTAATTTCCTAATTCAGCCCTGCCCAAATGTTAGGAAGAGGGTTGCCACCCCACTGTACAGAAACACTTTTCCTCTCTTGGGCAATTGCTTCATTTGTCTTAGGCAAAGAAAGGTTCTGATGTAAGATACTACATGATTTATTTCCTCCTCTTATCGCTTGATTGTGACCATTTTAGTGTTTATCATCCCAATACTTCCAAGTAAATATACTAATGCTGCTGTTTCAGAGAGCCTTTGTAAAGCAGGAATCATTTGGTAAAGATGCTTACCCACTCCTGACACATTTCTGTAAATTTTTAAGTGGAGGGGAAGTTCTGCATCTCTTTCCTTCATAACCACCTGTGGCCTGAGGCTTTCTCAACTCTTCTCAGAAGGGTGTTCTGTGGTGAGGTGAATTCCTGAACAATGTCCACTTTGTCTCCTTGGCCCCAAAGAGACTTGTTTAGTCTGGAGAAACAAAGTCTGGTTGTATCTTTGAGGCAGTTTCCCAGGGTTTGGTTGGATCTTGGACCAAGCAGATTGGAAAGGGAACAGTCATAGAATTTCAGACTGAAATGAGTCTTCCTCTCCACATGGCCATCTCTTCTCAACTTACCCATGGATAGAGCACTTGGAGGGGAGAAAAAAGGATGGGACAATTATCCAGAGATCAGGCTTTTATTAGACTGTTTATATCTGGGTTTCTTTCTTTTTCAGATGGAGGAGTCAAATGATGATATAGACCAAATGTTCAGCAATTTGCTGGGAGAGATGGATCTTTTGACCCAGGTAAATCCCCCATTTTACTATCAAATTAGAGAAAATGGAGTTACAGAATTTGATTTTAATATGAAAAGAGAGGTACCTTTAAAAAAAACAGCTGTCAGGCTGGGTGTGGCTCAGCAGTTGAGCATCGATCTAGGATCCAGGAGATCGCAGTTCGATTCCTGGTCAGAGCACATGCCCGGGTTGCGGGCTTGATCCCTAGTAGGGGACATGCAAGAGGCAGCCGATAATGACTCTCTCATCGTTGATGTTTCTGTTTCTCTCTCTCTCCCTCCCTTCCTCTCTCTGAAATCAATAAAGATATATTTTTTTTTAAATAAAATAAAACAACTGGAGATTGATGATATTATATATTGCTGATGTAACTGTGACCAATGGTGGAGAAAAAAAATAAAGCTTTTTGCCTAATTATGCCTGAGTTCAGTTGTTTGAAGACATCGGTCACACATTCATTCTGTCATGGCAATTCCCATGCTCATCGTGGTCAAACATTTAGCCAATAGAGGGATTTTCCCCAAGTGAATCCCTCCCACAACCACTACCACTAAACAGTCTCCCCTGCACTTACTTTTATAGAAAGACTAGGTTAGAAAATTATATAATCTCTAGTGTCTATATTTATATATATATTTTAATATTTTTTTAACTGATTTCCAAGAGAGAGGAAGGCAGAGAGAGAGAGATAAACATCAATGATGACAGAGAGTCACTGATCGGCTGCCTCCTGCATGCCCCCTGCTGGGGATCGAGCCCAAAATCCAGGCATGTGCCCTGACTGGGAATCGAACCTCAATCTCCTGGATCCTAGGTCGATGCTCACCCACTGAGCCATACCGGCTGGGCCTTTGGTAAATTTGACCAATTTTGGAGGCAAAATGCTACACTTTAAAGGACTAAAGGGAGTTACTGTGGCCTCTTTACACTGTAAGAACTTTGTCCCCTCAAAGTAGCATGAAAGCCACTCAGCCATAGGCCCCAGGTCTAAGAAAGACCAGATGAACTCAGAGTCAGTCACTGCTGACTGGAGCCCAGGGGCTGCTGACCCGAGAACCACTGACCCAGGTTACGGAGTCACGTGAGCTAGTGTGCCCTGCAGTGTTCTCATAGATTCAGAGCATGGTTGGCTCATCGCTTCTTGCATAAAATATTGAAATAAAAACAACCCAATATTCCTAAATAAGGTAGGGATCTTAAACTTTTCTACAAAATGAATGAAGAATAGTGTATGTTTTTAAAGAATACTGAATAGTGTATATGTCACAAATGCATCATTACAGGAAATATTTTCTGTTGTTTGTAAAAATTAACTTTCTCATTGTCATCATTCTCAGTTGACCTGTTTTGTTTCAAGATGTACTTTCTAGAATAATTTTTAAGTTGTAATCTAATGCGGGAGTGGGGGGAAATCACATAAAACATTCTCAAATAGGGATACCATTTTTAAAGAACATATTTAGAGAGAAAATGTGTTAACAATAAGTCACTTTTGACTTAATGACTAAATGTGCTGCAGAAATGTTAGCGTCACCATTAACTTTCTGGGGGCGGGGATCTGTTTCCACAGAGTTTAGGAGTCGACACGCTTCCTCCGTCAGACCCTAAACCTCCCAGGGCTGAATTTAACTACAGTGTGGGTTTTAAGGATTTAAATGGTAAGCATAATAATTTCTTTTCTTAAGTAATTTGAAGTAATAATGACTGAAATATGTGTGGAACTATAATTTGAAAACAAAATTTAAGGAACCTTGACATCATGGTAAGTACAATTTTTATAATTCTGGATTTCAGATTGCATTTTGTGTGTGTCTGGATTGAGTTGAAGGGGCAAGAGGATATTTTTGTCAGCAATGAAAGGGAACACGATCCTGCATTTGAGTAGTCTCAAAACTATCTTGTTTTTTGTAAGAAGTAAAGGGAATTTTTTTAATCTAGAAGTTTTTAGAGTAATATGGTACAGTAGNTTTTTAATCTAGAAGTTTTTAGAGTAATAAGGTACAGTAAGTATAAAAATATTAATAAGTAAATGTTTCTTCAAAGATAATGTTGAACTGTTTGTTGAATAATGATTGATAATATATGAATGGATGCTTCCAAATACAATATATTTTAATTTCTATATATACTTAACATATAATATGATACATTTGCTCTATTTGACATTTTTTATTCTCCCTGAGATGTCACATTATTTTATTAACAAAAATCTCTCTTCTTGTTTAGTGCAGAGACAATCTTTAGCCCATGTGCCATTCAGATTACAATGAATTTTAAAGTAATCGCTTCCAAATGAATGAGAATTCATGGCAACTCTTGAAACAGATTTTCCAAAGACTGGCAGTGTCTACCAAAAGACTGAAAAGCAAAATAACAAAGAAATCCAGTTACGGAAATCCTGAGTTCCAAGTTTTATTTCTGACACTCACTGGGTTTCTTTGTTTCTGTTCTTTTCAGTAATTTTTTGCTAAATGTGTAGATGCCAATACCTGTATCTTGATAAACTGCAATACACCTCTTCCAATTTTCTCTTTTCCCATCCTCTTTTCTATTATTTGCCATATAAATTTATTATTCCTGTCTGCCATTTCCATCATAACACTGAATGAAAGAAGAAGGTAAACTATGAATCACTTTTGCATGGGTAACATTCATGAAGTTGAAAAAAAGCAATACACTTTTATAAAATTATGACAGCACATACTAGCATATAGATAGCATATACTTGCACGTATGAACAATGAAGATTTGCCTCTCCACACATATATATCTTTTCTGGGTTTTTTTATATAAGGATATTTAAGTTCTATTCTGTCCGCAGATTTCAGTTCTACAATACAGTGTTATCAATTATGGTCACCATTAGATCCTCAAGCCTCATTCCTCTTATAACTGAGAGTTTGTTCCCTGTTGCCCCACACCCACCCTCAGCCCCTCGGGGCCAGTGCTCAAATATTATTCTGAAAATGGCCTCGATTCAGTTTTTCCAGGTACAAATCTTTGTTTTGATTATTAATGTGATTTTCCCTATCAGAATCCTTAAATGCACTGGAAGACCAAGATTTAGATGCGCTCATGGCGGATCTGATAGCAGATATAAGTGAAGCTGAACAGAGGACAATCCAGGCACAGAGGGGTCTTCTCAGAGTCAGCATCACCCTGCGCCTCCGGAAGCATCACATTTCAGTGGCGCAGCCTCTCCTGATTATGGAGCAAATGTCGCTGTAACTAGTGTGAGCCACTATGAGGATGATTTACCACCTCCACCAGCGGATCCCATGTTAGACCTTCCTCTGCCACCGCCACCTCCTGCGCCTCTCTCTCGGGTAAGTGCGTGGGGCCAGAGATGGCAGGGGCTCTGCTACCCATCATTTTGATTTTCTTCAGTGAGAGTTACATTCATAATTTTGTACCCTGAAAGTTCTGAGATACTAAGAAACAAGAATACTGACTATGTTCAATGCAAAGGCAGAGTCCTCTAAAAATAAGATGCATAGTGTGTATAAAGAACATGTTAAGACCATAATCAGGCATTATTATAGTTTGGAAAAATCTATATTTATATGCAGCGCTTCTTGATAATAGTTAACTTTGGGGGTAATTTTTTGTTAACTTGGTGTGAACTGAGGAACTGATTTCTACATTTCTGTGTCCCTGGTGCTAGCCCAGCACATGAAGAATAGAAAGCATTCCTTACATATTTCTGAATTGAACTAAGTGGAATTTTGCTGAATTGGGGCAAAGATATATCTAAGAGTCACTTGTAATGTAGTTAGGGAAGGGTGTTGTGGGGCAGGCAGGCAATGAGTGTTTGATATTAGTACATTTGTGAATACTGGGAAAACAGCTAGAAACTTGATGTGGTCACTATTTGGGACATTAACTAATAACGTGTCTCTCATAAAAGTGAAAAAAGAACTTTTAAGATTTTTTTCTTAGAGTAAATCACATTAAAATATTTTAGAGCAAGAATATCGCTCCATTTCTTGTGGCTTCCACATTTGTTGAACAGTGTGATGATGGTTGGTGTTCATAAATATGACTCTAGTAACCCTGAAAGCTTCTGCAATGCCTTTTGAATGAACAAATATTAAATAGAAATCAAATATTAAATCATAATCATTGCTATATTGTGTACTTATTGTAGAAAAAATGTTTAAAAGTTGATGATCCACATAAAGCAGAGGCTCTTTTTTTCATTTTGATTGAGCTGTAACTGACATAATAGTCTGTAAGTTACAGGTGTACACATGATGATTTGATACACAGGTTGTGAAATGGTTTCCACAATACGGTTAGTTAATCCCTCCATCCTTCCACATAGTTACCTTTTTTGTGTNTAATCCCTCCATCCCTCCACATAGTTACCTTTTTTATGTATATGTAGTAAGAACATTTAGAACAACTGCCTTAACAACTTTCAAGTACGTAATACAGTATTTTTTACTGTAGTCACCATGCTGTACATTAGATCCCCCAACTAATTTACCTTATAACTGGAAGTTTGTACCCTTTCGCCAACATCTCCCTATTTCCTTCATCCCCCATGCCCTAGCAACCACCACTCTACTCTCTGTTTCTGCAAGTTCAGCATTTTTAGATTCCACATATAAGTGAGATCATACAGTATTTGTCTTTCTCTGTCTGACTTCTCTCACTTAACATAATGCCTTCAAGGTTCACTCATATTGTCATAAATGGCAGGATTTTCTTCTTTCTTGTGGCTGAATAATATTGTATTTTATGTGTGTGTGTATATATGTATATACTTTTTTAATAAACATATACATGTTTTCTTTATCTGTTCTTCCATCAATGAACACTTAAGCTGTTTCCGCGTCTTGGCTGTTGTTAATAATGCTGCAGTGAACATGGAAGCGCAGATCTTTTCAAAACAGTGACTTTATTTCCTTTGGATAACTACCCAGAAGCGAAAATGCTGCATCATATGATAGATCTATTTTTAATTTTTTGAGGAACTTCCATACTGTTTTCCATAGTGGCTGCACTAATTTACACTCCCACCAACAGTGCACAAGGGTCCCCTTTTTCTCTACATCTTCGCCAACACTTGTTATCTCTAGTCTTTTTTGTAATAGCCATTCTACCAAACAGAGGCTCTTAATATAGGGTTCATGAAGATGTCAAGGAGGCCATGATTCCTGAAAGTATGTGCAAAGTTTAATGCACCTGTGAAGTTTTATGGGTTTCATCTCTTTCCACATATTCCTTAAAGGGTTTGTGGCTCAAAAAAAAAAATAAAGGACCACTGGTATGAAAAGGTATATCTATTTTCAAGTAATTAGAACATAACAGGACAGCTCATTTCCTCATCAGTATAATATAGGTAGGAGAGCCTTAATAATCCTGCTCTCAGAATATTAACTTGCAAAAATCAAAAGGTTTGGGGTTCATAAAATATTTAATTCTGTTTTCTGCCTGCTCATGTGTGTTTGTCAGTGTTCTTTTGGTGAATTGTAAGTTTAAGTTTGAGCCTAAGTCTTAACTTTGGGGAAATTAAGGACACTTTTGGGAATCTAATGAAAACTAGGGATCCCAGAAAAGTGCATATTGATCCAAAAGTATGCATATAATTTCAACTTTGAAAACCAAAACTCTATGCCTATTTTTTAAAATCCTCACCCAAGGATATGTTTTTATTGATTTGAGAGACAGAGGAAGGGGCTGATGGAGGAAGAAGGAAACAGATCGGTTGCCTCCCGTACACACCCTCACCAGAGATCAAACCCACAACCTAGGTATATGCCCTGACCAGGAATCAAACCCGAAATCTCTTGGCGTGCGGGATGACACTCCAACCAACTGAGCCACCCAGCTGGGGCTGAAACTCTATACTTATTAAATGATAGTTCCCTACTCCCCCTTCCCTGAAGCCCCTGGCAACTACTATTCTCCTTTCTATCTCTATGAACTTAACTACTCTAAGTACCTCATATGAAAAGAATTCTGGAGACAGATGGTGGTGATCATTGTACAGCAATGTGAATTTATGCAATGCCACTGAAACTGTACACTTAAAATGGTTAAAAAAAAAAGCATATAATTTCTGGAAGTGGGCAAAAGTGCTTAAATTCCTTCAGCTCTACCCATAGACGCCTCAGGTTGGACCCCAGTTTTGAGCCAAGCAAAGATTTTTGTGGACCAAATATGTGAAGTTCTGTTAGCACCATCATTTCATCTTTTAAGTTACTATTCTTTAATATAAAGGGTGACTGCCTTCTATATTTTGGGGCTGGAGATTTCTGTTATGGTCACTTAATTCTGAAAATCGATCATGCAAAATTTGCTGCCTTATAATACAACCTTTTGCTAACGTAAAGTAACTAAGACACTAACAACGGCACAAGTGTTTACTAGCTGGTAGTCTTTAATGGGCTGCGTTGAATGTCTTACCATTTTACAGGAAGAAGAAGAAGCCCAGGCGAAGGCTGATAAAATTAAGCTGGCATTGGAAAAACTGAAAGAGGCCAAGGTCAAGAAGGTAAACTATGGATCACTTTTGCATGGGGAAGTTAAATTAATGAGATTTTATTATACTTGTTTATTAAAAATACAATGTCAAGTGGTACTTTCCAAATAATTGTAATTTTTTCAATTTAAGGACAAAGATAAATTATACAGGTATTCTTTCTATGACATCAGTTAGCTCATTTATGTTAGTATATGGCTGGAACTTTTCAAGTCTCTATACCCAGGGTTCCCTCACACCCAAGGAGCCCTCTCTGGTTCTGCTTAGCTGTTAGCTAATAGCAGGTGGCACCACCTTCTGGGCCTGCCTTAGTTGGGTGAGAGCTCAGCTTCTGTTGGCCTTGCATCCATCTCAGCATTTCTGTGACCGCTTGTGTGCATTTTTCATATTCCCTGAGGCAGCCTTCGGCCTCACTGCCTGCCCTGGATGTCCAACTTACCTCCCAGTGTACCAAAGGTTGATCTGCTAGTGCTCTGGTTTCAAAGTTGCATAGGTTTGAGGGATCTCCCCTAACCTAACTCTGTAATTTTACTGTGCATTTTCTGTAGAACATAGGTTTTTCAGGAGTACATATGTTGTATTATAATAGAAACACCTATATTTAACTTTAGTAGAAAGGTATACCTAATTAAAGTTAATAATAGTTAATAAATAAAGAGAAAAATGAAATGCTCTTTGTCTTATTCAACTCCTGAAGCGTATCTCNTGAGGCAGCCTCCAGCCTCGCTGCCTGCCCTGGATGTCCAACTTATCTCCCAATGTACGACTCAAGAGCTTTTCACATATAGTTGGGTGAATCATTCTTTTCATCAAGGGCTCTTGACTTTATGTTCATGGCCCTTTGAATAAAGGCATTCAATACATGTTGATAGATATTGAATTAATATTCCATGACTGTCCCTGGATCCAGACTTTTAAAAATTTATTGATTTTTAGAGAGAGAGAAAAAAAAACACACATCAATTTGTTGTTCTGCTTACTCACCCATTTATTAGTTGATTCTTGTATGTGACCCAACCTGTGATCAAACCCGCAACCTTGGCGTGTGGGGACGACAACACTCACTGAATGAGCTACACAATCAGAACGGGACCCAGACCTTCAGTTTTCTCTTTGAGTCTCCAGATCCGCCCGGTTCCATGCATCCTGTGACGCCCGGTTCAGTCCAGCTCTCCTCAGCCTGGGCCCTCAGTGCTGCCTGAGCTGTACCGTCCAGTCACTCTCCCACTAACCTCGGAAACTCCTTCTACCTTGTCCCCTCTTAAACCCTCCAGGACCCCCTCCCCCTCCACACCCGCTCAGCTAATGGTGTTGCTGCCCGCTGCACTTACCTGCCTGCCTGCCTGCACCTGTGACACAGAGTCCATAGTCTTTGCTGTTACTTAGAAACTGTCATGTTTCTAGGACCAGCCTGTCCTCGTGTGCTCCAGTTCCCATCCTCGCTTCTTGTCCCTCTGCTCAAAAGCGCCCAGTGGCACTCAGCTCACACAGTAAAGCACACACTCTCACGATGGCCTGAAGCCCCTCTGTGACCTGGCTGCCCTCTGCCTC